AACTTTCCAGCAACGAAAACGAAGAAGATTATGCGATACCGGTGAATAGGCAAAAAATAAGAGAATCGCGATATGCAACTTTTTCGAATAAAAATAAAACCGGTAGCAAGAATAAGAGGAGAAATTCGATGCACACAACATCATCAATCAGCAGCAACAATAGTATCAACGTATTCTCGGTTGCTCATTCCACAATTGATAATGACTATCAAGTAGATACAAACATTACGAATTATAGTACAGGTGAAGAGGACGGAAAAAATTATCAACTTCATGGTTACCATGGCGATGTGGTAATAGTGGACGAGAAGTCGGAATCAGAAAATAAAGAATACTGGATAAATAGGATCATGAAGATGGTGGAAGACGATGATCCACGAAAAACATTTACTTTGGAATCCGTTAGTTCTGGGTAGGAATAATTGAAAAGTTTGATTGAGAAAATCGTACAAAATTACTGACAACATTCTTCATGTTAACTAACAGCGGTAACGGAAAGGTTTACAAGGCAACCAATAAAATCAACAAACAAACCTTTGCCATAAAAGCCATCTCGTTATCCCCCTCGAAAATGCCAAACATTACCTACGCCGAGGTGATGTGCACCAGAATCCTGAAACACCCGAATATTATTTTGAACCATAAACAGTGTATAACGAACAATAATTGTGATGTTAGATATGAAGGAGAGCACAAACGCGGCGTTCATCAATCTAATGGTGAATTACACGAGAATAACAACAACAGAAGCACAACAAATAGTAGTATAATATGCGGTAACAATACACTATATTTGATAATGGAATTCTGTAGTGCTGGTTCACTATGGGACGTAAGAAATCGAAAGAAAAACAAAAGATTTAGCGAATTAGAAGTAGGGTATATAATGCGAGAAGTACTGCGAGGTTTGGAATATGTACATGGCATCGGTATAATACACAGGGACATAAAGGCTCAAAATATCTTGATTGGGAATGATGGGCTGATTAAGATTGGTAAGTATTATTGTTGTGGAAGATTGTATTTTATGTGCATTTTTGATAACCTGACTATGCTTGAAATTTGAAACAGCCGACTTTGGATCGGCGTCATTGCACTCAAAGGCATCCTTGAAATTGGGAACATTATATTGGATGGCACCAGAAGTATTGCGAGACAATCAGGTATATGATTGCAAAGTGGATATTTGGTCATTGGGCATAATGGCCATCGAGTTGTTTGATGGAAGACCACCGTGGTATCCCATGGGGCAACGAAGGGTGCGTATTTATTTGTGTAATGAATTCATATCATATGATGAGATTCCTATTCAAATTAAATATTCTTAAAATATAGGTCGTAGAATTAATAAGGACTGTGGGTACACCTCCGTTACCGTCAGGTATATCCGAGGATTTTGAATCATTTTTGAGAGTTTGCCTGAAGGTGAACCCGAGGGAACGACCTGATGCCAGAGAATTATCGTTACATCCATTTTTAGCTTGTGCTGGAATTAATGGGATTCACGAGGATTAGACGAGATACGATATGAAGAAATATAGAGATGTATTATATTCGTCTTACAAAAATTATTAACTTATTAGATCATTTAAATCGTATTTATTAAAAAGCAATAATTAACGCGGAATGTATATTTCTACACAAGAAATATTCTTTATTTATTTTTTTCCCGACGCCAAATTTTATTACTTATAAAGTTCTATCCAATCTAATTTGCGCGGATGGACAAATATAAAATATCCATTGCAAATACCACGAATGATTTAGAATCAGTCTTTTTTCTTTTACTCGATTCTATCATTTCTGGCGTTATGATGATATAGACACCTTCCTGAAATTAAAATTACCAAAAAAAGGAATGAGAAGCAAAGCAAATGCATGTTGCATTTTTGTTTTAATAAACCGCACCTGGTATCACTGAACATCGAGTCATCTTGAAAATGACTGTTCAATTAACAAAATCCATTTTGCTTTCCATGCGATTATCATTCAAGCGATCCTCTACGGAAAGACAGATTATTATTATGATTTCGTGTATTTAAATGTCTTAATGTAGGCGAACTAGCATTATAGGACTCTCTCAGATTTGTAGCAGAACTAGACCGTGACTCCCGCAAACTATGATGATTATTATTAGGAGGAGGAGGCGGTCTTGATGATCCATTAATCTCTTCATTCATAGGTTGACTAGGATATATTGTAATTTATAGAAATTATTAGATATATGAAATATTTTTGTTTGTAATTATTATAATAAGCAAATTCTCACCGGAACCCATTCCAATGTTGCTTTTTGGCTGGTGAGATATCTTTGGCGGCTCCACTTATCCTGGGATGTGCATTTCCTCCGGCATTGCTGTTGGCATATCCGGTGAATCCAGATAGACCAGGACTCGGTGGCAAACCATTTGTCATAATACTATTCGAGACTCCTACGTTGTTTATTACGCGTCTTCTGTCATCTCTATTTGTTAGAGCTGACGATGAAGTGCCAAGATTTCCGTACGATGGACTTGTCAGGTGTTCCGCGAAGCCGAACTTTTTATCGATAACTTTGTCAAAAAATGCATCGATCTTTTCGGATGCTATGGAATTAGGTGCAAAATGAGTGGGCGCCAATGTACACTTTAGAAAATACGAATGCAAGAATAATACTTAGTATCATGATGACAATAATGTTGACACAAAGAAAACATCTACACACCAGATTCACGCAGTCACCACCATATTCGTCGACGATGCTATATCTCCTTTGGCGCCCCGTTAATTCTTGTTTAACGAGGTCCGCTTTGGTACCAACCACTAAAATCGGCACATTCGCGTGGCGTTCATTTCCAACTTGCAACTCAAAATCATAATCTAAAATTTTGTAAAATTGTCAATTCAATTCAGTAACAATTTCCACTCGAACATGTGAAACGTTACTACCATTGTGTCTATGAACATTCACTCCGCCATTTCCACTCATCCAGCTTCCACTTGCACTCATGGACCCACTCCCACTCATCCAACTTCCGTTTGCACTCATAGATCCACTTCCGTTTATCCAGCTTCCCGATCCACTTGAACTACCATTACCCCAATTTACATTCGAACCACCCCCAATATTGTTTACCCTTTCACTTTCTTTATAAGCGTCCGAGTAGATAACTTCAGCAATCCATTTCCACAAATTGTAATAGGA